AGATAAGGCCGGGGACTAATGAAAGTATTTAGAAAATTGGGCAGGTTAGATGGGCCGAATGGTTCTTTCTGCCGTCACATTCTATGTTTACCAAAATAAAAACTAAATCTGCTAGCTGACTTTGTAAACAAGCACGGCAATACATTAAAAACTGGTGATGGCCCAAGTTTCAAATACCCAAGAAAGACCCAAACCACTAATTTCCTATTTCTTCAACTCGTGGACTTCACTGATGAGTTTTAAAAACAACTGCCAAAACAGAAGAAGAGCTAAACCCCAAAATAATTTTTTGGGGATTTTTTTGATGAGACTACCTAACTATCGGCTGCGGCAAGATTTGCGGTTCTATCTCTAGCTTATCTTCATATTGATTACATCCCACTAGTTATAACGTGTTACTGTGTCATTACTTTTTATGACAGGCAGTCTTCCACTGTGTAACTAATTACAGTTGAGTATCTGGGATAGAAATCTAGCAGCGACCTATTGGGGTGCAACGTTTCTATGAATTTGTGTCTCTTTGGAACATAAGAAGTTAACGTGGAAGCTATGAAGTTAGTCCACACTTGCTGAGAAATTGAAGGGATGCTGTTAAAAGTGTTGCATTTTTCAAGGTCACTCTGAGTATAATTTTCTCTTCTGCACCTGAAATGCTCTGTTTAAAATACAGTATTGAAAGCAGCATGGTGTCTTTTAACTTCGTAAGTACTTGTAATTTTGTGATGATTCCCAGCTAGTCTTTTGGGATTAGTAATGAAATTGCGGCAAAGCAGCATATCGCTTGTCCTTGTAGACGTGTACCCAGAAAACAGCATGGAGCAGTACTGTCAGTGGAGAGCCACTAAATGTCCCTCTTTTTATGTTCACGCTTAAAGGGAAACCATATTTCAGATAAAATCAAATAGAAAATGTTCTATTTACTTTGTAACATTCGCAAATGTATTGTAGATATTTTTGTTCACTAATTTAGGTCCTAAATCTGTATGCTAAAGGGGGTCAGAAATATTTTCTGATGTCATTTACTCTGTTTTCTCAGATCCTAAATTTTAGAATATTAGAAAACAAGTTTCATGACATCAGAAATTATTTCTTCTCCCCTTTATCATACAGAAATCTATTAGTTGCACACACTGGGCACTTTTATTAGGAACTGCACAAGGACCAAAGGCAAGGTTTGTGGACCGTCATAGTAAAATATGTCAAATTTATATTTTTAAAGGAACACTATAGTCACCAAAATAACTTTATCTTAATGAAGCAGTTTTAGATCAGCGGTTCCCAAACTGTGTGCCGTGAGATATTTCCCCGGTGCTATGATCATATGATTATAGCACCGGTAACTGTGTTCTCCCCCTGACGGCTCTGCAGGACCGGAGGGGAGATCAGAGATCTCCCTCTCCGGCCAGCTCGCAGTGTACTGCTGGCAGCCGGCAGGGGAGGGAGAGAGGACCCGGGGAGCTCTAACATGCAGCTCTGCCGGGTTCTCCTCTCGCTAGCTCGGAGCATTGCCATGGTTACCACGGCAACGCTCTGAATCTCACGAGAGTGATCTCTAGCAGCTCCTGAGGCTGCTAGAGTTCACTCTCACCACTTGAACCACCAGGGCTTCTCCACCAGGGATTAGTACTGTCCCCCCTTCCAGGCAATGGTAAGCAGGGAATGGGGACATCAAAATTATTATTTTAAATTTAAAAAAAAGTTATATTTATGAATTTGCCCTCCAACCCCCACACAATAACTGCTCCTCCATTCACACACACTGCCCCCCTTCCCACACACTATCCCCCCATTCATACACACTGCTCCCCATACACACAATACCCCCTATACACACACAGTGCCCTCACATTCACACACACTGCACTCCCCATTCACACACACTGCCCCCCATTCACAGACACCGCCCCTTTATTCACACACATTGTCCCTTTATTCACACACACACACTACCTCCCATACACACACACTGCCCCATACACACAATTACCCCCCATACACACACACTGCCCCCACATACACACACTGCACCCCCCACACACACACACACATACACACACACACACACACAACATCCTTCACAAACACAATGCACCCCCGTACACACACTGCACCCCTCACACACACTGCCCCTACACATACACTGCCCCCCACACATACACTGCAACCCTACACACACACTGCCACACACACTGTACTCCTCACACAACCCACCCCCCACACACACTGCACCCCTCACACACACACTACATACTTCACAAACACAATGCACCCCCGTACACACACTGGACCACTCACAAGCACACACCCGCAGATTGCACCCCTAACACACCCATGCACACTGCACCTCTTACACACCCATGCACACTGCACCTCTCACACACACTCCTCCACTCTCACACACACACACACACACATTGCACCACACACACACAATTACACACACACACACACTACAGCCCCTATCCCGGCAGACCCCAGGTAAGTTGTCAAACTGTTCTTGGAGGGCACTACTGGCACTACCCACACACACACACACACACACTACATCTCTCACACACACTACATCCTTCACAATCACAATGCACCCCCGTACCCACACTGGACCACTCACCAGCACACACTGCAACCCTCACACACACCCACACACTGCACCCCTCAGACACAAGCACACTGCACCCCTTACACACACTCCTCCCCTCACACACACACACATATTGCACCACACACACACACACCACACACACAGACACACACACACTACAGCCCCTATCCTGGCAGACCCAGTAAGTTGTCAAATTGTTCTGGGAGGGCACTACTGGCACCATAACCATTACAATGTAATGTAGTGGTTACTGTGCCTGGATTGTTTCTTTAAATAATCTACCAGTTCTACTCCCAAGATTAGGTTCTGGATCTGCGCCTGAACGGCAAGCATTTCTGCCGAACTGGGGCCCAGTATATGCGGCTGCACTGCACATATATACAACCTAGAAAAAATATTGAAATATTAAGGGCGCCTTGAACCTAAAAAGTTTGGGAACCACTGGTATAAATCATGCCTCTGAAGTTTCACGGCTCAATTCTCTGCCATTTAGGAGTTAAATCACTTTTGTTTCTGTTTATGCAGCCCTAGCCACACCTCCCCTGGCTGCACTGGTGTATTTAGTCCAAAGCAAACTAGGCACTAACCAGGGGGCGGCAAAAAATGCTGTGATCTCCCTGCTGTGACGTTATATTCCGGCTCCCAGCTTCAGTAGACAGCCCACAAGACGAGAGGGATCAGATCAGGGAGATCACAGCTCCCTCGCCGCCATTGATTCTAAAACAGCTGCACGCTTTGTGGCAAAACTAGCCACTTCATTGTACAAGACCTGGATTCATTCGCTTATTTCCCCATACTAAAACTATGTGCATTCGTTAATTTAAACTCACGTACAGAATAGGAATATACTGTTCGTGAAAACTAATAAATTGTCGAATGGAGGACCACACAAGGGAGTCACGTGTCTCCAATTAAGAACTGGCAACACAGGGAAACCGCAAACCGCTAATGGTTTAATGAATGGTCGCCGTTCGGATGAACGAACACCTGGCAGCGGCCATCTTTGTGCAGCCCAGCGGTGTTTGGTCGTCGAGTGCATGGAACTAAAATCGGCTACTTGACCTTGTGAACACCGCTGGTCTTCCATCCCGTTCGTGGAGATAGTCCCGTTCGTCAAAATGGAGTGGCGTTCTGCTAAATTAAACTACCGACCTTCCTACACACGACTATTTAGTATATCAATGTGCATGTTCGTCTGTTAATTTGTATGAACTCCCGGAAGAAGACCGGTCAAAAGCCTGCAATTGCCTGGAACTGTTTTCGGTCTCTCGCTAGAATGGCTTCTCTATTCTAACGAACGGATATGAGGGGTAATTCGACAGATTGTGCACTCAGATCCCAGCTATTCAGTGAAGGGTCTTTCGTGGAGTTCAGATAGATATTATACAAATTATGATATTTTAATCAATATTGTGTGTTTTTATGTACAGAGAAATAATGTAATTAAAGGTGTACGCTTGCACGATTATCTCTCCAGTACAGAAAAGGATTATGGGACATGTTATTGTACACTCAGTTTTCCACAAGGTCCACCAGGGGAAAACCCCTGGAATGTCATTAAGGAAACCCCTTGCATGGGGATGTGTATAAAACCGGCTGTGGTTCAATAAAAGTTCAGTTGACTCCCAAACTGTGTGTCGTCCAGTTGTTGGGAAATGGGATTGGGATTACTACACTACTTTGGATTTGTATGCTAACCACGTCTACCAGCGGAGATATTGCGGGTTACATCTCTACTCCGCTACACGCCTGCCAGCAGGCCCACTGGACCCCAGGGACAGATCCACGCCAGCTCTCCAGGTAGGGAGGCTGGGTGGAAAATGTTAATTTATAATTGTAATAATTAGTGAGTGTATGTGTGTGTATGAGTGTATATGAGTATGTGTGTGTGTGTGTGTGTGTATGAGTGTATGTGTGTATGTGTGTGTATGAGTATATATGAGTGTAGGTGTGTGTATAAGTCTATGTGTGTCTGCGTGTGTATGTGAGTGTTTGTCAAATCTGAGAGAGTCTGTCATTGAGTGTGAGTGTGTCTGTCAATGTTACTGTGTCTGTCAGTGTGTGTGTGTATGTTAGGAAGAGGGTTGGAGGAGAGTTGGAGCAGCGGCACAGACTGTACATTATTATAATTAAGTTATTTCGAATATTTTGTTCACTGTATTAACGCATTAAAAATGAATCAGTCAACTTCAGCATGGAGCGTTCCTGTAAACGTTATACGAGTACACCACTGGGCAGAGGTACACTATAGCGTTATGAACACAGTTTTGTATTCCTATCACTATAGTGTTCCTTTCTTGAAAATCATGTTTAATATATTTATCAAGCATCTGCTGTGATAAGGTTAGCCATCAACGGCTTGAGGTGGCTATCTGCCTTGTCAATCAGGGTAGCTTTTTTAAAATTGCATTATGTGGGGCTGCATTAAAAAGGCTCCCTGAGCGTGCTTGGAATGTGGTTCACAAATTTTTGTAGGACCAATGTTGGCCATTCCGATCTTAGCTTGTTTGTAGGTGGTCTTGGTCATAACTCTATCCTTTGCAGCCTGTGTATGTAGCATCTTGTCGTATCCTGCAAGAGCTCCGTAAATATCCACACGGAATAGAATGGTGCTATCGGGGAACGGAACGTAATCAGGTTGCTGTGACAACAGGATGTGGCCAAAACACAAGCCATGCAGCAGCAACATTAGGGTGCTGGGTGGATGTGATAATATCGTTGGGATGAGGGTGATAGGATACAGCCACATCTCTCAAGATTTTATTTATCTTCCTCCTTGAGTTGCAGAACCAGTTCTTATGTTTAAACAGCAAAATGTATGGCGAATGCAAAACATTGTTTGAAATCACTGGTTTCCAGTGTGATTTTCTTTTTTCTTTTTTGTGTAGTTTTGGGTTCATGGCAAAATTGTGTTATTCTACTAACATGACACAAGGACTGTCAGTTCACAGCATCATCCTCAGGTGAAATTTTACAGGTGTGAGCTGGGCAAGTTTTCTCAAGATTGCACTTGTTAAAAAATATCTATCCATGTTTTAAGATATTAAGTAAACAGGGGATTATATTCAGTGGGGAGATCAAGGGTAACATAAATGAATGCATTAGAAGTGATAATCTATTAATAGTTCTGCATTTTTTGTAGAGTTCTTATTGCAGCAGTTTCCTGACTGTTCAATACTCTTAGGAGAGATTATCCAAATATCATTATTATTCATACTCTGAGTCACCATAGCAACCTCTGTTATCCCAATTTGAGTGATGATGTTTAGGGGTGGGAGTCAGTTATTGTAACTTTCTAAATGCTGTAAGAATTTACAGAGTGATATTGGTATGTGCAAGAAGCCTTCCAAGATTTACATTTATATATATATATATATTCTTTTTCTACCTTCCACTACCCCTTTTTCGCCCCTTCATTCAGGGTTATCCAAGTAAAAATTGTGGGGAATTTAAAGAGAATTTCAAATTTAAGGCCAAGGCAGCTGAATTGATAGCATAGCTGACTGGACTTTTTTTTTTATCCATTTAGGATACTTTGTCTTTAATACCTGAGAGACAGTGGCGGAACTACTGCCGGTGCAGTTGCACCGGGGCCCCCACTCTTGGGGGCCCATCGTGTGGCCCATGTACTTCGGGCCACTCAATGGGTATTGCCCGGTCAGCAGCCCATTAAGAACGCAATCTGCACACAGACAGCCTGTGTACGAGTGTGTATGTGTCAGTGTGTGTATCTGTGTCAGTGTGTGTGTGTGTGTGTGTGTGTGTGTCAGAGTGTGCTTTTCTGTGAATCAATATGTCAGTGTGTGTATCTGTGTGTGTGTATATATATTAGTGTACAAGTGTGTATGAGTCAGTGTGTGTTTCTATGTATATGTCAGTATGTTTATATTTGTGTGTATGTCAGTGTGTCTGTATGTGTCAGTGTGTATCTGTGTGTGTCAATGTATCAGTGTGTGTATCTATATATGTCAGTATGTGTATATGTATCTCTGTCAGTGTGTGCCTGAGTGTGTGTGTGTGTGTGTCAGAGTGTGCTTCACAGTCAATATGTCAGTGTGTGTATCTGTGTATGTATATGTCTATGTACGAGTGTGTATGTGTCAGTGTGTTTATATGTGTCTATCTCTGTGAGTCAGTATGCTTCAGTGGTGTATCTGTGTGTGTGTGTTTGCATGTCTGAGTGTGTTTATGCATCAGAGTTTGCTTCTATTTGAGTCAATGTCAGTGTATGTATCTGTGGGTCAGTGTGTATGTATACAGGGTCGGCCTTAGATGATCAGACGCCCTTTGCGAACCCAACATATGACGCCCCCCCCCCTCCTTCAGCAAAACCCCTGCCCCTTCTACAATAGCCCTGTTCCGCCTTCTACAAAACCCTTCCACAAAACCCCAGCCCCCCTTTCTACAAAACCCCTGCCCCTTCTACAAAACCCCTGCTCCCCCTTTAATAAAACCCCTGCCCACCCTTCTACAAAGTTCCTTCTCCCCCTTTAACAAAACACATGCTATCATTATATATATCAACTATACAGCAATGTACACATAATATCACTAAAAACCTTCCCCCTCCACCAAAACCACTGCCACCCTCTACAAAAGCCCTGTACTCATTCTACATAAACCCCTGCTCCCCTTATACATAAACCCCTGCTCCCCTTATACAAAACCCCTGCTCCCCTTATACAAAACCCCTGCTCCCCTTATACTAAACCCCTGCTCCCCTTGTACTAAACCCCTGCTCCCCTTGTACTAAACTCCTGCCCCCCTTATACTAAATCCCTGCCCCCCTTATACTAAATCCCTGCCCCCCTTATACTAAACTCCTGCCCCTCTACAAACCCCTGCTCCCCTTATACTAAACTCCTGCCCCCTTTACAAACCCCCTGGTCCCCCTTCAACAAAACCCATGCCCCCTCCACAAAATCCTTTCCCCTGCCACTTCACCAGAAATGCCTGCCCCCTCTTCTACAAAACCTCTCCTCTACACCTAAACCCCTACCCCCTTTTTTACAAAACCTCTAACCCCTTCTATAAAACCTCCTCCTCCCTAAACCCCACCCCCTTCTACAAAACCCCTTCCCCAAAATCCCAGCTAGAAAACCTCTGCTCCCCCTTCTGCAAACTCCCCACACACAAAAACAACAATCTATTTAATAAATAAAAAAAAAAGCAATAGTTACAACAAGAATGAGCAGACTCACATTGAAGCTTGCTGCTCCCTGGACCCTCCTGACAGTATCCCAGTCTGCTGACCTTGATACCAAAGCACTGACCTCACTGTGCGGATCCTTCCGCGAATGACTGTGGAGGCGGAGCACACTCTTCCTCCGTGCTCCTGACCTCCTCTCTCTCCCGGCCGCTGCTCTCTTCATAATTTGCAAGTCTTGACTTGACTTGCTCTGCACATGACTTGAGCCGGCCTGTGAGTGACTGAGTGCGAGCTGTGTCGGCCGCCTGCCGCCCCTGTTGCCATGGCACCCTGTGCGGCCGCACAGCTCGCACAGCCCTAAGGCCGGCTCTGTATGTATATCTATGTAAAAAAAAAATTGTATGTGTCAATGTTTGTGATAAGTGTGTATGTGTATCTGTGTAAATACGTATGTGGCAGCGAATGTGTTTATGCACATACATACTAGCAATCAAACGCCAACACTACATGCAAACACACACTTGCAGACAAACACAATCATTACATAAAAACACTCTCCTGCAGTCAAATGCTAAAATTATGTACGAACACACCCCTTCATTCAAACACCAAACCTACACACAAACTTACACCCTCATTTAAATTCATCACTACATACAAACACACCTCTGAATATAAACAGAATATTACATACACACCTCTGTATTAAAATGCCAAAAATATATACAAACTCCCCTTCATTCAAACACCAACAATACACACAAAAGTACTCCTGCATTTAAAAGCTAAAATGACATACAAACACACTTGCATTCAAACGCAAACATTACATAGAAGTATACCACTGCATTCTAATGGCAACATACAAATATAGACATCCCAAGTCTCCCGGTATTTCCAGGAGACTCCCTCATTTTGCATGCGGCTCCCTGACACATTCATATCATGTATAATTTCCCAGAAATCCCACACAATCTGACATACCATGTACAGGGAGTGCAGAATTATTAGGCAAGTTGTATTTTTGAGGATTAATTTTATTATTGAACAACAACCATGTTCTCAATGAACCCAAAAAACTCATTAATATCAAAGCTGAATATTTTTGGAAGTAGTTTTTAGTTTGTTTTTGGTTATAGCTATGTTAGGGGGATATCTGTGTGTGCAGGTGACTATTACTGTGCATAATTATTAGGCAACTTATCAAAAAACAAATATATACCCATTTTAATTATTTATTATTACCAGTGAAACCAATATAACATCTCAACATTCACAAATATAAATTTCTGACATTCAAAAACAAAACAAAAACAAATCAGTGACCAATATAGCCACCTTTCTTTGCAGGACACTCAAAAGCCTGCCATCCATGGATTCTGTCAGTGTTTTGATCTGTTCACCATCAACATTGCGTGCAGCAGCAACCACAGCCTCCCAGACACTGTTCAGAGAGGTGTACTGTTTTCCCTCCTTGTAAATCTCACATTTGATGATGGACCACAGGTTCTCAATGGGGTTCAGATCAGGTGAACAAGGAGGCCATGTCATTAGATTTTCTTCTTTTATACCCTTTCTTGCCAACCACGCTGTGGAGTACTTGGACGCGTGTGATGGAGCATTGTCCTGCATGAAAATCATGTTTTTCTTGAAGGATGCAGACTTCTTCCTGTACCACTGCTTGAAGGTGTCTTCCAGGAACTGGCAGTAGGACTGGGAGTTGAGCTTGACTCCATCCTCAACCCGAAAAGGCCCCACAAGCTCATCTTTGATGATACCAGCCCAAACCAGTACTCCACCTCCACCTTACTGGCGTCTGAGTCGGACTGGAGCTCTCTGCCCTTTACCAATCAGCCACGGGCCCATCCATCTGGCCCATCAAGACTCACTCTCATTTCATCAGTCCATAAAACCTTAGAAAAATCAGTCTTGAGATATTTCTTGGCCCAGTCTTGGCGTTTCAGCTTGTGTGTCTTGTTCAGTGGTGGTCGTCTTTCAGCCTTTCTTACCTTGGCCATGTCTCTGAGTATTTCACACCTTGTGCTTTTGGGCACTCCAGTGATGTTGCAGCTCTGAAATATGGCCAAACTGGTGGCAAGTGGCATCGTGGCAGCTGCACGCTTGACTTTTCTCAGTTCATGGGCAGTTATTTTGCGCCTTGGTTTTTCCACATGCTTCTTGCGACCCTGTTGACTATTTTGAATGAAACGCTTGATTGTTCGATAATCACGCTTCAGAAGCTTTGCAATTTTAAAAGTGCTGCATCCCTCTGCAAGATATCTCACTATTTTTGACTTTTCTGAGCCTGTCAAGTCCTTCTTTTGACCTATTTTGCCAAAGGAAAGGAAGTTGCCTAATAATTATGCACACCTGATATAGGGTGTTGATGTCATTAGACCACACCCTTCTCATTACAGAGATGCACATCACCTAATATGCTTAATTGGTAGTAGGCTTTCGAGCCTATACAGCTTGGAGTAAGACAACATGCATAAAGAGGATGATGTGGTCAAAATACTCATTTGCCTAATAATTCTGCACTCCCTGTATATCAGATTGTGTGTGTTGATTACCAGCATATTATACATGATTTGTGCCCC